GATTGTGAGTCGAGCGCCTTATCCACCTGGCCATGCCGGGCGCATTTGAGTTTAGTAAGTTAAGATTAGTAATACTTTTTAACACTAGAGTTCTGATTCAAGACACTCGCAGATTTTATTCCCTTAAGTATTTCTCTTAAAGTAATAGGGTATATATTGAAATATTAACATTTGCGAACACTTTCTATTTCATACGCAACTTACAGTTAACGGTATCTGCGCAATTACAAGTCATAGCGAAATAACGACAAACACTTAATGAATTGATTAAATTATTTTATATTCATATGTCTTGGACATTTAATACTCTTCAGAAACACTAATAAACATCAGTTTATTAAGTTCTTTAAAACAGTTAGTATTCCACTAGTTACCATGATACTTATTTGATATCAGCATTTTGAGTGTGGAGACAAAAAAGACAAACTCATGAAGAAAAGTACAGCAGCTATTTATTGTATACTTTGATACAGAACAATGTTATTACAACCTTTTTAAAACCAGAACCGAGGCACTGGATTAACTCACACGTTAATTTTAATAGATTTCTATACGAAATTGAATATTTATCGTACTTAAAAATTATGAACTGCTCGCCAAGGCTTTTAAGTCCTTTCACAAACAATTAGATATGAAAAAAGTACTATAGAATGAAGTTAACTTACACCATGAGGGTCAACTCCAGCTATGTCACCTTCAAACAGATCTAAAGAAAATGGAAACGTTTCAAATCTGCGTGAAAGGAAGTGACAAACATTATTAGAAGGTGTGTTGTGCTGTGCTTCTGTTTAAGTACCTGTGTCAGTGCTAACAAATACAATTTTCCTTTTCATAAGTAAACAAATCTCAAAATTACGAAGAGCACTTTCAGGGATAACTGACTGAACTATACTGAAATTCGAAACTAATTCTGTATACAGACACATTTCATTTTAAAATATTATATATCCATAGAAATAAAATTATTTCTAAGTGCGTAAACAGTATATGGATGCAATACTTAAAAACGTAAAAGTAAATGAAGGCAATATCTAAATAAGTAAACAGTAGCTGGATGCAATACATAAATTCGTAAAGAGATGGATGGATGCAGTACTTAAATACGTAAACAGTAGATGGATATAATACTTAAATACCTAACTAGTAGATGGATGCAATATCTAAGTAAGTAAACAGCAAATGGATGCAATACTTAAATATCTAAATAGACGGACGAATGCAGTACATAAATACGTAAACAGATGAACAGATGCAGTACTTAAATATGTAAATAGAAGGATGAATGTAAATGTTACTTAAATAAGTAATCAGATAGATGTAGTACTTTAATACATAAACAGACACATGAAAGCATTAGCTAAATACGTAAACAGATAGATGGATACAGTACTAACTACCTAAACAGGTGGATTAATAAAATACATGTATATGTAAACAGTTAGATGGATGTAGTACATAAATAAGTAAACAGTTAGATGGATGTAGTACTTAAATATGTAAACAGTTAGATGGATGTATAACTTGAATATGTAAACAGTTAGATGGATGTAGTACTTAAATATGTAAACAGTTAGATGGATGTAGTACTTAAATATGTAAACAGTTAGGTGGATGTAGTGCTTGAATATGTAAACAGTTAGGTGGATGTAATACTTGAATATGCAAGTATATTAAAGTTTTGGTCGTCCCTTATTTCTCCACTTTTATAATCAACATCCAAGTTTTTCATTTTCTGACAAATTTGCACTAGGAACAAATATGTGTTAACATTCGGAACACTGACTGCGCTCATGTCTTCATTTTGATTCTAGGCTCTTTCATTTAGAGACAGTGGCATTCTGATAAAAATAAACACTGGACACAGTACAATGTTTCAATAAAATGTTGGGATGATACCTGATTCTTAAATGACTAACCTTCAAACATGTATTTGTGAAAAGAGACTGCCTGTCTCTGTTTAAAAAATACAATACATATAATATCACGAATGTAGTTGTTTAATTAATGTCTACGGTCTACAATTGATATGATCCTTCTTGGGCTACGATATACAATAATGGTAAACGTTATTGATCGAAAATACTGAACGGCAAATAAACTTTACAAAAGCTTTTATCTTTTATTATTAAATAACAAAGTGGAAAAGTAAAATAATTAACCTGTTATAGGAGGTAAAAAAATATACATATATGTACATACACACGCGTTGTATTTTCTTACACTGTACTTTCTAAAAAAATAACGAATCATGTATTATACGATGATGAAGTTAAGACTTGCAGTACGTGCTTCTTTTATTGTACAAAATCACTTACTTTTATGGTACAGAGGGCTGTCTCCAAAGTTCTTCAGTGACCCTGTGTATAGAAGTAAAACAATAAGAGTTCCTAAAATCTAACATATACAACTAATTGTGATCTATAATTTGTTAGTCTTTAAAATAAAATTTAATGAAACATTTAATTCACAAATCAGTCATTTTTGTGATAGTTTTTATGTCATAAAGTTTGATATTTTGAGGACAATATTATATTAAACATTTTGTGATATTTTACCATCAAACGATACTACAAGGTTTATTTACACAACATAATAATAATTAATAATTAAAAATTAGATCAGAATAAAACAAAATAAATTTGATTAAAATTTTAATCTCCCTCTCGGTGTATATATAGTGAAAAGTGTATAAATAATTCATTTCATGATAGCAAGTTCAATGCTTTAATTTCTTATGTAATGTAATGTAAGTTGGTAGCTTTGAACATTAATAATAGTTCTAAATATGACGTCCCGGATGGAGCTACGAATCAAAAATTACGAAAACATGATAAAAAGGGACAAAACATACATAAACTTGAATTTTTTAACAATTAAGTGTTGACTGGAGTAATGTTATGATTTGGTTTTATTTCATCTCTATTTCTTGTTTGGAAACATTGAATATATGCATGCCAACTTTCTTGCAGAAACATAGAAAGTAACTTCTACGACTGATGAAATTTACAATTAAAGCAATTATTGTTCTTATCTAACCCATATAAAAGCCTGTGTGTCACGTCACATCACGCTTGATTTCTCGAAATAGGAGGAGTCATAAAAGTCAAAATGCATTTATCCAGATACAATAGTTCGATCACTGTCAGCCCATTACGATTTTAGTGACAGGGGTGCTAGAGGGCCGTGAGGGGTGTATGTGTTTGCCATGATACCCTATAAGTGTAGTGAGTCCCGGTATAATAAGCTTAAAGTAAAGACGTAGCATGGGATCACCTAGCCTAGAGCCAAATGCATAAAATTTATCACGAAAGTAAAAATATCGATTCAATTTTAAATTTAAATCGTTTCTAAATTAAGCTATTTGTTGATATATCACCGTTTTTTATTAAAAAAACATACAAACCTCTTTAATCAACAGAAGCCCAAGATTAAGAAACCAACAAATATTTTTCCAGTTTTATTGTCTATACATTTCATTTTATACTTTCAGTACATAGACTAACAAGTATATTAGGTTATCCTTTTGTTGCTAAGCAACATCACATAAAAGCCACTGTTGGAACGTAGTGTTACCAAAACGCACTGGCTTTTCTGTATATTAAAAGTTGATAATCTAACTGATTTTTTACAAATAATTATTCTATGAATACGCCAAGAAATCATTTTAATTTTGATTGGCTCACAAAGGAACTTACCGACATTTTACTGCCTCGACTGCACTTTTCTGCCTCTTTGTTGGTAAAGTTTGATTTCGCAAACTTTATTTATTTCAGTTAGCTGTGAAATGTGAGGTTAGAGTATACTATGGGGTGGGGGTGGTAGTAGTTGGTTAGAGTATACTATGGGGTGGGGGTGGTAGTACTTGCCCCGTCATTTTTGACGGGATGTACGTTAGTTTACATTTATAAGTCTCAATTACAATATTTTTTTGTTTCTTTGTTGCTAAGCTACACAAGTTACACAATGAGCTATCTGTGCTGAACCTACCATGGGCATTGAAATCCAGACTCTAGACTTTCCGCTGAGTCACTGGTGAGCTATTTACAAGATATTAAATGCTTAACTGAAGTATAGTGTTTTCATAACGTAACTAAATATGTTTCATATCATCCCACACGTGTCATATTTCTAAATATTACAACTGTATTGTGTTTTACGTAAACGATGTGTTTCTTAATATTCATAACGGGAAATATGATTTGGATATCAATAGACGCAACATATATATTTAGGCTAACTCTTTGTTATACTTACAGTCCACTGGAGAGGCCGAAGCCAGAGTGATGACTAGGGATATCAGGATCCTCAACATGATTCAGTCAGCCAGTAGGCCAGTGAATGTGGTCTTATAAGAGAAGGCAAAACACGTGTACAATGGATATTATCATTAACCTTGTTCCAAGCAGGTGTTCTTTCTTCTGAGAACATGTCTCTTGTGATACACGTGGATTTTATCTTGGCAATAAGCTACACATTAGTTGGAGTGAGAGTTAACAGTAACTTCTCCATAAAATAGTATGTTTTTATACAGTCATAGCTTTCGATAAATTGTGTAATTTCGATTTTTTTCTCTTCGACTGCTTTCTTAACTTTTTAAGATGTAAAGCTGGTATGTAAAACTGAAATTGAGCTTAGAACAAATAATCAGTAATACATTAAAAACTCGTAATCTCTTCATTGTTACTGAAGAATAAAAAACTTAGATTCTACTCCTCTGTCTAATAACCAGAACATTTGCTGGTAGAATATGAGACTAGTTTAATTTGATTTAGTACTAGGCATAAAAAAAACAAATTCTTAATGTCTGTAAAAGAGTTCAAAGTCCGGTTGGCATATAGCTTTCCATCGTGTACAAAATATATTCATTCATATCCCTATGTTTCCCACTGTTTGTGATCTACTACTGAACCAGTTTTAAGAAAAGGCGAGAAAACGATCAAAATCTGTGTGATGTAAAGGAACCCAGAAAAGGCGAGAAAACGATCGAAATCTGTGTGATGTAAAGGAATCCAGAAAAGGCGAGAAAACGATCGAAATCTTTGTGGTGTAAAGGAATACAGAAAAGGCGAGAAAACGATCAAAATCTGTGTGATGTAAAGGAGTCCAGGAAAGGCGAGAAAACGATCGAAATCTTTGTGGTGTAAAGGAGTCCAGAAAAGGCAAGAAAACGATCAAAATCTGTGTGATGTAAAGAAGTCCAGAAAAGGCGAGAAAACGATCAAAATCTTTGTGGTGTAAAGGAATCCAGGAAAGGCGAGAAAACGATCAAAATCTGTGTGATGTAAAGGAATCTGCCACTTAGGATTTCATATTAAACTAATACAGTTTCCTCACACAACAAGATTACATTTCAAACAGCTATTGTAACAAAAGAAAAAAAACAGACAATTAACGAAATACAATCATGACATAAAATCATACTAGGAACGGGATTTTAGATATAGCATGGTAATTGACGATGGTTTCAATACTTCGTATTACAAAGAGAACAAAATGGTTGTGGGCGCTTAAAATATTCAGTATTCGTAAGCTTATAAGTATTCAAGCGACTTAATGTATTTTTAAAATATCAGTAAATTGAAGTGAGGAAGAGATCATATATTTTTCTGTTCATTATCAACAATTCATCTGTAGTGGGATTCAAATAGACTACCCATATTAAACGTTCGATAATTCCATTTTCTTAGGAATTACTTGACGTGAAAAAATATTAGCCTGCTTTTTTTTAGTCCTCCGGTGGAATAAATATTTCTAGGTTTTAATAAGGTCGTATTAAGGTCCTGGTGGGAAGGCGGAAAGTTTACAGACTTACAACGCTAGAATCTACGGTTTGATTTCCCGAGGTGGACACAGCCGATAGACTATTGTGGCTTTGCTCTAAATCATCCAAACCACTGCTTTTTAAAGCCTCATGTTTTTCACAAGCAATTAATAACTCTTCGACGATTACAAAAATAACGCTTGGAAAGTGACTGAATGAAGCAATTTTGAATACATAAGGCTCACCCATTAATAAGGCGTCTTTGGTACACAGACAAAGCAGCGTACGACAGAATGGCACAACTTTTTATATCAAATTGCGAATTATCTTGTTGGCTATTGTGTATCAAAGAAATGATACTCAATGTGACTTCTTCATTGCACTTCACTCTTGTTGGCTATTGTGTATCAAAGAAATGATACTCAATGTGACTTCTTCATTGCACTTCATTCTTGTTGGCTATTGTGTATCAAAGAAATGATACTCAATGTGACTTCTTCATTGCACTTCATTCTTGTTGACTATTGTGTATCAAAGAAATGATACTCAATGTGACTTCTTCATTGCACTTCATTCTTGTTGACTATTGTGTATCAAAGAAATGATACTCAGTGTGACTTATTCATTGCACTTCATTCTTGTTGGCTATTGTGTATCAAAGAAATGATACTCAGTGTGACTTATTCATTGCACTTCATTCTTGTTGGCTATTGTGTATCAAAGAAATTATACTCAACGTGACTTCTTCATTATGTCATCGTTCAAGATTTCGTCGTGAGTTCAGTGGTGTCCTTATAATCTATTTCATTCTATACCAGTCACAAAAATATAAGGACCTTTGTTTACTAAGGACTTTGAGTTTTCTACATTTTGAATTTTATGTCAATGATTACGTTGTAGAAACAAATATTAATTTTCCATGGAATATATTTTATTGTTCGATTCTTGCTCATTCTAACAATAAAATACAAGTATGCGTGAAGGTTACTTTATCTTGTATCTCTTTACTGAGATAAATTCTAGAGAGAATTGAGTAACAAATGACTTCAAAATATCTAGTCACGTGTGAAGCTACCATATGTTAGCTGAGTCAGAATTCATGTGCATGTGTTTTTACCAAACTTTCAGGTCTGATTTGGTTTGGCTGGTGCACTCGATTTGCAATCTGCGGATTCGAATCCCATCATCAAGTATGCTCGCCATTTCAGCTGCGGGGGAATTATAATGGAGCAGCCAATCGCACTTTTCGTTTCTAAAGAGTATCACAAAAGTTTGCGGTGGGTGGTGTTTACTAGCTACCTTCCTTCTAGTTTATAACTTCTAAAGTAGGGACGGCTAGAATAGCCTTCGAGTAGCTTTGCGCGAACTTCAACAATCAAAGAAACCACCAAACTTGTTAATATATTGCACTTGACATAATAACAATTACAGGTATTTGTATATTTAAAAAGACATGTCATTCTATGATCTAATGTTTTGTAAAAATTAACATTACTTTCTATCTTAAATTACTTTATCTCAGTAGAGATAATTTACATAATTCAAAACGATTATTTGATATAATTCTCGAGAATGATTAAGTAGTTAATTAGTATAGAGTCTCATATTAGTAATGAGCTGATATTTTAACTGACTCACTAAACTTGTGTCAGAATTAATGTACAGGAACTGGTACCATGGGGAAAGCAACAGTAAGGCTATGTCAGAATGGTAATTTTCCTGTTCATTTGTTTTATCCTTCATTTAAGTAGTCTAGGAATTCAACTAATCAGTAAGTGAAATCTTTAATCTGTGAAACAATAAGCACATTGCCACATCGTGAGCGAAAATGGGAATAAGTAAGTTATATTTCTTGGCTATTGACAACTACGGTAAAGTTGCACAATATGCAGGTGCATTGAGCCACACCCAGAATTTGTATACAAATCATAAAACCGTCTGTTTGGTTTTCATAGAATATTATATTTATTGAGACATTATTAATACCTTTATTTACATTAGTTCGCGCTAGAAATAGACTAAAGTTTGGATTTGTGGATTTAGAGATTTATTCATCCAAACTTTCTGATTTTTCTTACAGACGGATAAAAAACAACAACATTGAGAGTGTAAAAGCCAAAATTCAGCAATTCTTTGGTTCTTCGATGAGCCACCAGAGAGCACTAGATATAAATGTTGACTACCAGGCTCAAGAACGAGTTTTGTTTGAGAAAGGGGGGGGGGTGTCTTATCCGGGTGGTTCGATCAGTTTTACTGGCAGTGTCTAGTTGATTGGATCGATTAGTAAGAATGGGGTAATTTTTCAGGTGGTGAAGGTCTGGGATACTAAAAACAAATTTATTCCTAATTAAAACATATAGTTTTGTTTGTTTGTTCATTAGGTTTCGTCCAAACCACATGAGGTCTATCTGCGCTAGCCATGCCTAATTTGAAGTGATAGACTAGAGGGAAGGTAACTGGTCAGTAGCGCAGGAAGGAGGAATCAGAAGCGGCAGCGGTCAACCTAGCGTAGAAGAATTCTCTGGGATCAAAACTTCAAATTTCCATTTAGAGACGCTAAATTTTCATCCGTCAAAAATTTTAAAACATATATATATTTTATACTGTCACTAGTTGCTCTATAATAAATCCTTCATGGCAAAAAAATTCCTACGCCACTGCAGCTAGTCGACAACACCCACCGCCAACTCTTCGACTACTCCTGTCAGACCAAATAGCGGTATTTGACCGTCACTTTTATAACACATTAACAGCTCCAAGGTGCGGATTGCAGTATTTTTGAATGAAATTAACATCTCCAAGATGCAGAGTACAGTATTTTTGAATGGAATTGACATCTGCAAGGTGCAGAGTGCAGTATTTCTGTATGTAATTGACATCTCCAAGGTACGGAGTGCAGTATTTTTGAATGGAATTGACATCTCCAAGATGCAGAGTCCAGTATTTTTGAATGGAATTGACATCTGCAAGGTGCAGAGTGCAGTATTTCAGTATGTAATTGACATCTCCAAGGTACGGAGTGCAGTATTTTTGAATGGAATTGACATCTCCAAGGTACGGAGTACAGTATTTTTGAATGGAATCGACATCTGCAAGGTGCAGAGTGCAGTATTTTTGAATGGAATTGGTACGTGAGCCATGGAAATTCAGCTCCACAGTCCAGTACGCTAACAACTGAGCGTGATCAGTCATAAAATAAGTAATAGTAAAACAAACTGGGCAAGTTAACTTTGTAAGAGTCCCTGACAAGACCCTGACTTGGTTGTTTTCGAAGGGAATGAAATGTTGCAGTCAAGTAGATTTAGTAGTTAATATGAACAGTAACAGATCAAAATTAACATTTTTATAAGATTGTAGAATGAATATAAATGAACATGAATGTTGAACAATAACAACAGGTTGAGTTCGAACAGAGTCAGGAAATTGGTGGTTTGTTTTAGAACAAATAGGGTTATATAATGTGTCCACCGTGGGGAATCGAACCCTGGATTTTATATGAAGTACCTGCAGCAGAATTTTAAGATTGGTGTATTTTTAAACAATGTATCTTTTAACCTTGTACTTGACTATTTCTTTATTTGGAAACCGTGGAGAGTCAAGC